CAGCTCTAGCAGCCGCCGCAGCAGCTGCTCGCGGTGCTGCTGCTGCAGCAGAAACTTTTAAAAGTAGCTCACAGTGATGTGCGCAAAATATTCTTGATGGTACTTCCTGCGGCGTGCAGCAGCAGCAGCTGCTGCTGCTGCTGCTGCTGTTTCACTTCAGCAGCAGCTGCTGCTGCTGCAGTTGTTGCTGCTGCTGCAGCAGCAGCCACGCTTTAGAATGTTTATTCAATGTGTTGAACTGAGCAAGTGGGAACTGCTTCTTGTTTTAATTACCAATGCTTTCTTCCGCTGCCAGCAGCGACTGTTGCTGCTGCTGCTGCTGCTGCTGCTGCTGCTGCACTAAACCCTACAGCTGCTAGACCCTAAACCCTAAACCCTACTTCCAGCTACAGCTGCTAGACCCTAAACCCTAAACCCTATTTCCAGCAGTCGCCTGCCTAGCCACTTGAGCCGATACAAAGCAATGAAGAACAGCAGCAGCACCAACAGCAACTTCAGTAGCAGTAGCAGCAACTGCAGCAGCAACAACGGCAGCAGCAACAACGGCAGCAGCAACAACTGCAGCAGCAACAACTGCAGCAGCAACAAGGGCAGCAGCAACAACGGCAGCAGCTGCGGTAAGATCCTAAGAAGGGGAGATGTTTGCGGAGTTCCTCCACCGGTAAAACGGCAGCAGCAGCTGTTGCTGCTGCTGCTTCTCTTTCTTTCTGCGCTGCAGCAGCACCTGCTGCTGCTGCTGCTGCTGCTGCTGCTGCTGCTGCAGCTAACTAGATCCTACGAAAAGTTCCTGTTGAGCAATCCGAGTACGGAGTGCTTGCTACCACCTCTCCGCTGCTGCTGCTGCTGCTGCTGCTGCTGCAGCAGCTCTGCCGGCGCCTCTGCTGCTGCTGCTGCTGCTGCTGCAGCAGCTCTGCCGGCGCCCCTGCTGCTGCTGCTGCTGCTGCTGCTGCTGCTGCTGCTGCTGCTGCTGGTGGTCAGTAGGTCTCGAGGAGGTTGTTGACGAACTGTTCGTTGACGAAGTGCCAGTTGATGACTTTCCAGAAGTTTTCGAAGTAAAGACTTTTGTCTTGCTGCGTGTCCAAGTAAAAAGCATGTTCCCAAACATCGCAGCAAAGCAGCGGGCTGCTGCGCGCAGCAAAAGTCAGCGGTGCTGCTGCGTCGTGGCCCTCCCCCAGCTCCAGCTTGTCCGTCGAAGTGTTGTACAGCAGCCACACCCACCCTGCAGCAGCGGCAGCAGCAGCAGCAGCAGCAGCAGCAGCGGCGGCGGCGGCGGCGGTGAGAGTTGCGGGAGTGGATTATGGGAGAAGCAGCACACAGCAGCACTCAAGGAGGATGCACAAGAGCGCATGCAGCAGCTATCATGCTGCTAGCTAGCTAGCTAGCTAGCTAGCTACTACTGGCTAGCTAGCTAGCTACTACTAGCTAGCTAGCTAGCTAGCTAGCTAGCAGCAATCAGTGCAGCAGCAAGCAGCGCAGCAGCAGCAAATGCTGGCGTAGCAGGCGAGGCTAGTGCAGCAGTCAGTGCAGCAGCAAAATGCACAAGGCTAGCTCGCTAGCTAGAGGCCAGCAGCAACAGCAGCAGCAGCACAGCAGCAGCAGCACAGCAGCAGCAGCACTGTAGCAGCAGCAGCACAGCAGCATTATCACTGCAGCAGCAGCACCGCCACCACAGCACCACCACTGCCACAGCAGCAGCAGCACCACAGCAGCACCGCAGCAGCAGCAGCAGCAGCAGCAGCAGCAGCAGCAGCAGCAGCAGCAGCAGCTAACCGGATCCGAAGTGTCCGAGCTGAAAAAGTTTGAATTCATTTTTGAAGTTTTCCAAACTTCCAAAATCTCTTTCCAGCCGCTTCAAAGTGGGCCCCAAAGGAGCAGCAGTTTCTTCGCTGGGGGGCCCCAGGCAGTTGAAGTAAAAAGTGTGGTTCCACACCTGCGCAGCCTGCAGCAGCAGCAGCAGCAGCAGCAGCAGCAGCAGCGGCAGCAGCAGCGGCAGCAGCAGCAGCAGCGGCGGCGGCAGCGGAGCAGCGAGAATTAAGGCAAAGGGGCAGTTGCGGCTGTGGAAGCAGCAGCAGCAGTAACCGCAACAAAGGCAGCAGCAGCAGCAGCAGCAGCGGCAGCAGCAAAGGCGGCAGCAGCAGCAGCAGCAGCAGCAGCAGCAGCAGCAGCAGCACCTGGTTGTAGATTTTTCCCTTTTCATTTTTAATTATAGTTTCCAGCTTCTGGTGTATCGGGTTGTTGCTGTCCTTAACTAAGGCGTTCAAGTTGTCCACATAAGCCTTGTGGTGCTTCCCTGCAGCAGCAAATTTTGTTATTTATTTATTTATTTATTTATTTATTTATTTATTTATTTATTTATTTATTTATTTATTTATTTATTTGTTGGATTGCTGGATTTTACGCGAAGGCCACGCTGCTAATAGATGCATCGGTATTCAATGACTCTGCAGCAGCAGCAGCAGCAGCAGCAGTGGCAGCAGCAGCAGCTGCTGCTGCTGCAGCTGCTGCTGCTGCAGATACAGCTGCAGCTGCAACTGCTGCTGCTGCAGTGGCAGTTGCTGTTTGCTGCTGGGGCCCCGTCTGTTGCAGCAGCAGCGCCGCTCTTTTTCCTGCTGGCGCCACCAAAACTGCTGCTGCTGCTGCTGCTGCTGCTGCTGCTGTTGCTGCTGCTGCTGTTGCTGCTGCTGCTGCTGCTGCGATGGAATTAAAAAGAAAAGGACTTAATCAAAACTCACCATAGTGGTGCTCAATTGTCTTCGCGCTAATGTAAGGCTCCAGGGCGTCGGGCTTATAAGGGAGCGGCGGCAGAGAGAATCTGGCGCTGAGGCGAAGGGCGGCTCTGCGGAGCGCCTGGAGAGGAAAAGAAGGCCAAAAAGCAGTTTAAATGCCACTTTGAATTCACAAATTGCAATTTAAATTCAAAAATTGCAATTTAAATTCGAAAAAAATGCAAAAAAGCGAAAAAAACGGAGAAAAATTCAAAAAAATGAAGGAGTTGGAGAGGAACTTCTGAATGACGGCGCGCGGCGCGGCGCTCTGGTGTATGTACACCTGCTGCTGGACTCAATGGCACTCCATCGGGAGGTGAAAAGAGGTTTATTCATTTAATTAGAAGTTTAAAAGGAATTAATTTGAAGAAATAAATCCAAAAAGGCTGAAATAAAGGCGAAGGAAGGCGCGACGGGAGCTGCTGAGCCGGCTGCAGCCGAAGCGGCTTACCATTTCCGTCTTCTGCGTCTCTGGGGCTCCAAACGCGTTTCTATCCTTTTTAATTCTCAAAAGAATTAAAAATGAAAGTTATTTCCCGTCGAAAGTGGCTGCGAAACAGTGAGCAAGCTGTCTATACACCCCAACGCCGCGCCGGCAGCAAGGAAGCTGCAGCGGGGCTGGGGGGTCTGTCGGCTGCAATAGACCCCTAAGCAGCTCAAAATCTATCTTTTTCAGCAATTAAAAAATAAAATAAATACTTTTAAAAGGAAAAACAAAACAAATCCCTTTTAAATGTCCCAACAGCTGCCTGTACACCTCAGCGCCCTCTCCTGCTGCAGCTCTTCACAAACGCTCTTTGCTGCTCTGCTGCTCTTGCGTCTATGTCACGCACTTCCCGCTATATTCCCTTTTCTTCATTGCTGCTGCACTTTAAATAATTTATTTAACTCAAAAAGCAAAAAAGAATTAATAAAACTGCAGCAGACTTTCCCGCCCTGCCAGGAGGCTCTCTGCAGCAGCTCTTGAAATCCACCAGGTGTACGTACACCTGGATTCCCTCGCGGGTTTGGCGATTTAATTCAAATGAAGAACTTCTCTTTTTAATTTCCTCTTTTTGTCTCTTTTTGCCACTTTTTAAAAGACTTTTAATGCTTTTGTTCAAACAAATAAATACTTTTAAATAAATCTTTTTATTTTTAATTTCAAAATTCATTTTTGAAATTTCAAACAGCAAAAAGATAGACTTTTCTGCTGTATGTACACCCCACGCCCCACAGGAGGGTGGTTTTGCTGCACTTGGGCGCAGCAAATATGAAAGGCAACAAAAGAAAAAAAAAAAAAATAAATAAATAAATACATAAATGATAAAACAAATAAAAAAAATAATAAAAAGTGATTTAATTGGAAACAAATAATAAATAAGAAAAGCAAGAGTCACTTTGGATAGAGAGAAAGCAAAATGTACGCAACGCAGAGCTGCAGCAGCAGCAAAGAGAACATCCACTGTTAATGCTGCTGTTGCTGCTGCTGCTGTTGCTGCTGCTGCTGCTGCTACTGCTGCTGCTGCTGCTCGCTGTTTAAGTGTGGGGACGGCGCTATTGCGCCGTCAGCCGCCGCCTCAGCAGCAGCAGAACCAGCAGCTGCTTTCTCTGCTTCTGCTGCTGCTGCTGCTGCTGCTGCTGCTGCCGCTGCTGCTGCTTGTGGCAGCAGCAGCCCGTGCGCTGTAAACGCGTTTCTGGCACCAGAGTTCCAGCCCTGCTGCTCCTGTTTCTGCTGCTGCTGCTGCTGCTGCTGCTACTGCCTGCTGCAGCTGCTGTTTCTGCTGCTTGTGGTGCTACTGCTGCTGTGGTCTCTGCTGACAGCCGCCGCTTATGTTGCTGCTGTTGCTGCAGTTGCTGTTTCTGCTGCTGCTGCTGTAATCCTTTACCACCTTTTTCTGCTGTTGCCGCTGATGCTGCGCTGATCTACGAGCCGTTTCTGCTGCTGCTGCTGCTGCTGCTGCAGCACTGATTAAGCAACTCCTACTGCAGTTGCTGCTACGCTTCAGCTGCTGCTTCTGCGGATTCTGCTGCCGCTGATCTGCTTCCGTCACCCTCTCTGACACATCAGCCACAACAGCTGCAGCAGCAGCAGCAGCAGCAGCAGCAGCTGCAGCAGCAGCAGCAGCAGCAGTAGCAGCAGGAGCTATCTGTAAGTGAGCAGGTGGGGGGTCAAGTGTCCGGAGTCTGCGAATTGCTTCGCAGACACAAAACCTCTGCTGTCCACCGACAGCCACGAGATGCTGCAGTTTGCTG